TTCACTTAAAGTTATCACTCATTGCTAAAAGCACAAACAAAAATGAGCAATAAGAATCATGAGTTCTGAAAGCGTCCTATATCCTGGGATGCAAAGTACTGTACTCTCTCAGAGACTGGAAAGCAGGCATACAGTACTCATTGGACAAATTGGTGGCACTTAACCATTGTCCATAATTTCAGCCCTAGTCTATTTTTAAAAACAGAACTGTTAATTCAAAACCTAGTGCAGAAACTTTTGCTAACTTTTTTGCTCAGCAGAAAATTCAGCTCACAACCCAAAAATCCATTTTGACTCATTCAATTACTTGTGAATATTAAAATGATTATAGACTTGATTCTAATTGGTATTTTAATATTTTATAATCTTCATGTTTCAAAGAGCATTTTAACCTTTTTAATATCTGCACATCATTGTTTCTGTCTGTGCACAATAGGGAGACTTATTTGTTATGCAGCAATGTTCATGTATTTAAAAATACATGTAAGACCATCTTGATTTTCTGAACTCTGCTTATCTGAAATTCCAGGTTAACAAAAGCTTATGTTCCTTGAGTGTGCAAATTTCTGAGCAGCTTGTTTTAGGGAGATCCATGGGACTGAACTTAAGCCCTTAACTCCCTGTGAAGTTGTATGCGTAGGAGGTTCAAAGGATTGAAGCTCCTGTTTATTTTACCTCTGCAATTTTATAAAGGTTACAGATGTCCCCTAAAAGCTCTATAAAATCAGGGTTTGTGTCTGTCTGACTTTCTAATTTCTGATATGTGTCTGTCCCTGTGGTATCACCACACTTTTCTATAAATTTCTAAAGCTTGGAAAATGAGGACCATGTGCATTTTTATTGAACTCCATCCTGAGATGTGCTAAGCACCAGCTGCTCAGCAGCATCCAGGTTACGCTCAAAGACATTTTTATTTATTTCATTTATATATTTACTCGTTTATTGGGGCCAATATCAGAGAACCCACTGAAAAACTCAGACACATTTTGAGGGTCCTTAACTTCTGGGGAGGAGGTTGAGGCTAAGATTAAGAGACAATACAGTTAATCTCAAAACAAAGAAACAAACAAAGAAGTACATTTTAGCCATTTACCTATAGCTGTTCCCTTACAGGACAGTATGCAGTATAGGGATTATTATTTGAGCTGCATGACTCATGACTCATATCATTACACACATATGTTTCAGTGGCATCACACATCCTAATGAGAATTTAAAAGTGTATCAGATTTAGAAAAACACTATGGCTGTGTCTAGATTGGCCAGTTTTTCTGGAAAAACTTGCCAGCTGTCTACACTGGCCGCTTGAATTTCCGCAAAAGCACTGACTTCCTACTGTAAGAAATCAGTGCTTCCTGAGGAAATACTATGTTGCTCCCGTTCAGGCAAAAGTCCTTTTGCGCAAAAGGGCCAGTGTAGACAGCTCAGATTTGTTTTCCGCAAAAAAGCTCCGATCGTGAAAATGGCGATTGGGGCTTTTTTTGCGGAAAAGCGCGTCTAGATTGGCACGGGTCGCTTTTCTCGTGCTTTTGTGGAAAAGCGTCCATGCCAATCTAGATGCTCTTTTCTGAAAATGCTTTTAATGGAAAACTTTTCCATTAAAAGCATTTCCGGAAAATCATGCCAGTCTAGACGTAGCCCATAGGTTAAACCGGTGTTTCCCAAATGGTGTTCCATGGAACTCTGGGGTTCCACGAAGTGAAAATAAGGGTTCCGTGAGAAAATTCCTTTACAATAACATTTTATGATTTAAAAAATTAATAATTAATATTATGTAATTTCTGTTTTTAAATATGGGTAATTAAACTAAATGCTGATCTCATGAACTTGTTTAGCATTTGTTTATTATTATCCTTCCTTATTTGTGGTGGAGTTTTACAGCTCCATGTATTAGACTGTTATTAGGGGTTCCGCAAAATTCTTTTGAGTTTAAAAGGGTTCCGTGGCCAAATAAAATTGGGAAACACTGGGTTAAGCCATCACCCCATGTATGGGAGCATTTTAGAGCTCATAATCAAAGACTAAGCTCTGTGTACACAATTAGTATGGGAGCATGAGGGGTGCCAACAGCTTCCGTGAGCTCCCGGACAAGGCGTGTGTGTGGTGGTGGTGGTGGTGGTGGAGGGGGCTGGCTCTGTGCCTCAGAATGGGCGGGGCCTCAGGTGGAAGGAGTGGAATCAGGGCAGCCAGCCCTAAGCCCTTCTTGGACCATGGCACTGACCCCTTCCCCCAGCCCTCTGATCCACACAGAGTATATGGAGTGGTGCTCCAGCAGCAATGTTAAAGGTCTGGGGCTCTGGCCACTGCTGCTGCAATAGTAGTTGCAGCAGTGGCCAGGAGTCTTGGGCCCCTTTGAATCACCAGGTCCTGGGGCAACTGCCCTTTTCCCTTCCCTTCATTCCCGTCAGCAGGCCTGGGGAGCATATGCACACTCCACACTCACTGGAGAAACTGGGCAGGAGTACATCTAGTTCTGCAGATGGTATACGCTGTCCCGCTGACTGAACAGCAAATGGAGACACAGGCCTGCACCAAACATGCCTGCTCTTGCAAATAATCCCTCTCTACAGATTGAGTGACACCAGCAAGTAGTAGTCGGTGCCAGCAAACTGTGCTGGCTGGGACAACTGCATCAAATTACCCTGATGAAATGCAGGGCCTAGTGTGTTAGCTGCCCATAGACAACCCTTTGCAATCAGCACAGCTATGCACCATAAATAACCAGTGCTGTGAAGTGACTTCCTCTGCTGAAGCAGGGGTGCCCCACACATTCAGAGGTACCGCTGATCTGTCATGAAGGCACAGCCTGCCTGACTGCTAGCGCTGGGCTTTGATGTTAGGTCATGATCTAGCCCTATGTGAGTTCATGCCATAAATACATCAAGTCCCTCATTTAAGAGGGTTTCCATTTTCAAGCACTCCCTCTCCATCACAAAGCCACTTACTTAAAAGGAAGTAATGCAGGTGATTTATCTCCCTGGGGCAGCAGCTGTTCCCATTCTACAGCCTGAGTCCTGGCTCTTGCTCTAAAAATGAACAGACTTTGGGTTAGCCTGGGTTTCAGTGGAGGCAAGTGCCTTCCCCTGAGTATGTCCTAGCTTTGGCCCCGCAAGTTAGAGATCTGTGACTGACAGTACTATGTGCTGGGGTGGGAAGAGGAGCAATTATTAACTACAGGACAACTGGGATCAATATTGCTGGAGGCAGTAACTATTGCCTACTACTCCAATGTAATATCTGTTCTTATCAGTTTAATATCTGATAGAGAACATATCTGAGAATTTTTCCCCTTTCAAACTGTACCAAAGAGTCATCTGTACATGCTCGTGCTTCATACTCTCCACTTCCCCACCCTCGTGTCCCGCCCAGATACCAAGTGGCAGGACCTCCTACCACCAATAGAGGGTGGGGAGCCCCGGTGGGTCAGTAACTATTCCACGTTGGTTCCACGGCCTACTAGGGACATCAGCTGGAGAATCTTCTACAGCGCTGTGAGCACGGGCGTGTACTTGGCATGGTTCACCCCGTCCCCGGTACTTGCCCCTTCTGTGACATGAGGGAAACCCCGGCACACGTCTACCTTGAGTGCACCAGGTTACAGCCCCTCTTCTGGCTCTTCCAGAACCTCCCGTTGAGGTTCTGGCTGCACTTCTCCCCTCACCTATGAATCTATGCACACCTCTCCGCAGCCCCACAAAGTTGCCTCGTCAACCTCTTCTTGGCTATCGCCACAACGGCAATTTATAAAACTAGGGAGCAGAGGTTGGCTGAAGGAGGGGTCTGCGACAGTGGGGCCTATTTCCACTCCTGCATCAGGGCAGAGTTCCACAGGGCAGTGTCCGCTGGCTCTCTCTCTTTCAATCTTTGAGGGGCAGTGAGCACTGTCCAGGGTTCTCTGCTTGGTATCCCCTTCCGGTTCCCTTGTTTTAGCCCTTTGACCCTCAAACCTGCCCCTGTTTTCTTTGTCCCCCGGAATCACTTGGTGTCCAGGGCTTTTTGGATCCTCCCTATAGGCTGGGGAAGGATCCTTTAGATGTGGGCGGGCTAATGCCCGCCCACCTCCCAAACCCAAATAGGAGGAAAAAAACCTACAGTGACTACGGCCATTAGAGAAGCAGTACTCAGAGTGAGGGTACATCTAGACTACATGCCTCTGTCGTCAGAGGCATGTAGATTAGGCTACCAGACATAGGAAAATGAAGCGGCGATTTAAATAATCGCCGCTTCATTTAAATTTACATGGCTGCCGCGCTGAGCCGACAAACAGCTGATCAGCTGTTTGTCGGCTCAGCGCGGCAGCCATGTAAATTTAAATGAAGCGGCGATTATTTAAATCGCCGCTTCATTTTCCTATGTCTGGTAGCCTAATCTACATGCCTCTGCTTTTCCACAAATACTTTTAACGGAAAACTTTGCCGTTAAAGGCATTTGCGGAAAATCATGCCAGTCTAGATGTAGCCCTTGGGTATGTCTAGACTACATAGCTCCGTCGACGGAGCCATGTAGATTTGTTTATTGGGCAAAGGGAAATAAAGCGGCGATTTAAATAATCGCCGGCTTCATTTAAATTACATGGCTGCCGCGCTGAGCCGACAAACAGCTGATCAGCTGTTTGTCGGCTCAGCGCGGCAGCCATGTAATTTAAATGAAGCAGCAATTATTTAAATCGCCGCTTCATTTTCCTATGTCTGGTAGCCTAATCTACATGCCTCTGGCGACAGAGGCATGTAGTCTAGACATAACCTAAGATTCCACTCTAGCAGATTCCCTTCTGTCCCTCAGTGCACATCCATGTGTGAAGTATATTGCAAACATATTCATTTCACGAGGACCTCACTGAAAGCCTGTTAACCAAATTATTTCCTAGGTAACATGAATCATTACAAGAATTACATAGAATGTAGTGAAAAATAATCAACATATTAGTGAGGGAAGAAACCTTAAGAAATTCAGAGGTTGTGAAAAGCAGCCAAATGTTCCTATATTTTTCTGACCTTTTGAATACCTTCAGTTTGCTGACTTGCCCTAGAAATCTTGCGAGAACAGACTTTCATGAAATTAACCATGTTTTCTTTTTCCATTTCTGGCCAGCTCCAGGAAGTGTAGAGACCTGAAGAAATGAACAATACTGAAGTTAAATGGACTTGCCTGAACATCAGAAAGTTTGGTTGTGGTTCAGTTCAAGTCAGTTTTCATACCATCACAACAGAGCGCTTAGCTTTGCCAATATAACCTCAGTTGTAGACACAAGTAGGTCAGTGGAAAAGTGTTTCTGTTCACCTACCCACTGCAGATCAGGGAGGTAAATTATCCACGGTGGTAGGAAACTCCCTTCTGTTGCTATTAGAGGCATCTACACTGTGGTGCTAAAGTAGCACAGTTGCTGTGCCATAATTACACAGCTGTATGACCCATAATGTAACAGCTCAATCATCTCTGTCTACACTAGACATTCCACCCCTATGAAAAGTATAGGGAACACCTAGGAATACTAGCAACTGTTACAAACTCTGGGGTAATGTTATTCAAATATCTAAGGCATTTTGAATGGTTTTAAAAAGGAAACACTGTACATAAATACTACATAATAAAAATTATAACCTTAAGCTTCATCCAAGTGGCATCTGATATCAAACCAATTGAATAGGTTAAGATCCAGTTACTAGAATACAAGTTCTCCACAAATTGAGAGTCATTTCAAACACATTACACACAAGATTCATCAAGGCAACACCCCTTTTCTTGAAATGTCCATAGAATGCACTGCCGAGAAGACCATCTGCTGTTGCCAAATATTATTTTATTTAACTTTGATTTACTCTTCTTCATATCTGTGGCAATTTGTGTGCACACCCTGAACAAAGTGAGTAATGTGGTGGCTATGGTTTTGCATTAGTACGAGTGGATCTTACAAACTCAAAGGCTAAAGCTGTTGAGTTTGCAATTAACTGTGACTATAGGGTTTAGTGTTTGCATGGAAGCAAAGTGCTCAAGAATTTATGACTTGCAATTTGTATGCATAGTGGAACAACTCCAATGTTTGCAGAGTGCTATAAAACAAGAATCAGAGGGAATTACCAAGTGTTTTATATATAATTAGCTTTAATCATTTGAAGAAGAGGAAAGAAAAAGATGTCCTTTTACCAATGTGAGTTAAATATTAAATACATCTGATGCAGTTTTGGAAAAAGTCAAACAATTCAAAGTTGTAGATCTCTGAGCATATACATGAAGAGGAAAATACAATATTCTCCACAAAACCATTATCGATCTGAATGCTGATTTATTTAAGTGGTATTGTTGGTGTTTCTCTACAAACAGAATTAGAGGTACGGTGAAGATTCATAACTGCAGTGTTAAGAGATTACACACAGAGGAACTTCAGAAAGAATAATTTAATCTTCTTACTATATATTTTAGAAATGCATGTCTGTCTGTCCATCCGTGAGTCTGTTTGTTCAAGAACTCCTCCTAAACTGTAAGAGCTAGGGCCACCAAGTTTCGTATGCAGCTTCCTCTTATCACAAATTAAAGGTCAGGGTTTGGTTGTGCCAGCATAATGGGATGTGTATGGAGTTCAATTGTTTCTCATAACATTGAAAGGAAAGAGTCTGACAGGCGAGCTATACTGCAGAATGACCACAGGAGAGGGGGCAGCCAGGGCCCAGAGATGGGGACTGGGACAGCTATAACTTCATTGGGCCAGCAGGGACGTGCTGGAGAAAGAGACAGCTATCTACTAAATATTTCAGAGAGTTTGTCTGTTTGTGTTTCTCTTTTTCTGCATGTCTGTCTGCCTCAGTTGGGGGATGTCATGACGAGCACCCAGTGACTAAGGGATTAATTTAGGTACCTAGCAAAGATGTCAGCCATGGGGATTAGGGCAGTCAGTCTGGTCCTGAGAAGAGATGGAGGGCTGGGTGGCAGCGGGTGGCTGGCTCGTACCGTGCCAGGTGCAGGGTCTGCTGGCTGGGTGCTGGCAGGCTTGCACCTGGCACGGGCACCATAGCCAGACCGTGACCCTTTAAGGTCTCCGGGGCCGGGAGGAGGGCAGACAAGTTTCCCTGGTGGTGCCCAGAGTGGCCACCAGGGCAAGCTGGGGAGGGCTAGCCTCCCACTAGTTCTAATTAAGTGGCTACACAGCCCTTAATTCGAACTACTTAATTCGAACTAGGCGTTAGTCGTCGCAGAATGAGGTTTACCTAGTTCTAATTAAGCGCTCCGCTAGTTCGAATTAAGTTCGAACTAGCGGTTTGCATGTGTAGTGCCTATCAAAGTTAATTCGAACTAACGTCTGCTAGTTCGAATTAACTTTGTAGTGTAGACATACCCCCACTGAGTAGCTGCTTCCTCCAGAATGCAGTGGGGTGGACCCCTGCAGTAAGTGGAAGCCTGTTGACTATAATGGTCCTCCGCACAGGCCTCGGAGGGTTATTCATGTGGTACACCATGAAAGAGCAAGGGCTACGCTTTCAACCCTTGTTAGGTTATTGTTGAACTATGGACAAATCATTTCACTCCATCTGTAAAATGAGCATAATACTTTATCCCCACACAGGGCTGTTATGAGGTTTAGGGCTTAATTAATTAACATTTGTAAACCTCTTTGAGATTCTTGTCTATATATAAAGTTCCATTTATTGGAGTCAGAACTATTCCATTTTACTCTGAGGTGACTTGGATTTCAGAATGTTTCTTGATACTGTGTTTTTGTGAAGCGATAAGCCACTACATGCATAATGGGATGATAAAAAACATCCTGTACAGAGGCCAAATACAGTTAGATGTCTGGGTGGCAATTTAATAAATGACATAATGACAGCACAATCAAATACAACAAAATGAAAGTAGTAAATTGCAGCAGAAAGTTTGGCAGGTCCATGAATGATGATAATCACCTAGGTTAATTCAACAGAGGATGCTCTTTTGCTCTGCAATACATCTGAAATACTGTGTTGGGGGAATATGCCTTTATAGTGTTTAACAATAAAATATGCAGAATCCACTTCAGCTCTGAAATGAAATGAAATAATTTGCATTTCAATTACTCCAGCTGCAAGATGTCTAGTTAGAATCCTAGTTTCCTGAAACATTGATAAGAAACATTAAATATGAAGGTTTAATTTTAAAGGGTCACCAGTGAGCATTTTGGAAAAGGTTTTTACAAAATTAAATTCCTTGTGCCTGGTTTTGGCTAATGAAGAGAAAAATTGGGTGACTCAAAAGAGAAACTGAGAAAAACAAATTCGCTGAAAAAAATCATAAAATAAATCTTGCAGATTTTACCAGCTTTCTCCTTTAATAATATTTTAAATAGAGATGGGCCCAACCCACCCATTTTAGATTCAAGCATCTCAAAGTTCTGAGCTGCTCGGGTCAATGCCTTTGTATTAAGCTATTACACAAGGGGCTTTTGCAAATTCTATTTCCAGATTTCAAACATGTTCTCATGTTCAGATCTGGGGGAGGAGGGCTGATTCAACCATGCCTCTAATTTCTAACAGGATGAAGCTCTGTATTATGTTTTGTTGGAAATCATTTACACTTGATGTCGCACAGTGTGCCAAACTCATGCAACATTTTGGCTCGATTGAGACATTCTGAACTGGATATGCTAGGGAAGTAATTTTCAGATCCGTAGACATGCAGAAGGGCCATTGCACAAAACACCCATTCAGCATTCCTTCTTTTTAGCAGCCAATCAGTTTATTTTTGCAGCGTTAAAAACTTTAAAATTCAGTATTCGGCTAAGCCTACCCCGCCACATTACTGCGCTGAAACTTTCTGGCTCAGGGGTGTGAAAAAACACTCTTCCCCAAGCACAGCAAGTTACAGTGCGGTAGTGCTGGGAGCAATACTCCCAGTGCAATTAGCTGCTCCCCTTGTGGTGGTGATTTACCTAGAGTGTGGGCTCCTGCTACAGCCACAATTTCACTTTAAAGAGCTGCCGCAGCTGCACTTTAATTTTAGAAGTACTGACAAAGACCACGTAGAGCACACCCCAGTTTAGAAAGGCCTTCAACAACAAATTAAGGCAATTACCATAAATTAGCATATATAACTCACCTCCATATATAACACACACGTGTGTATTACCCATGGTATTTCTTTCACGCGTAAAAAAATCTTAGATTACCCATGGATGTATATAACCCGCAGAGACTTCATCCGCCTTCATAAAAGGTGGCATTTGATGCTGCGGTGGGAGATGTGGCGGCAGTGAAAGCGGGAAATGATGCCCTAAAAGCATTTTCGGAAAAGCGCGTCTAGATTGGCAGGATGCTTTTCCGGAAAAGCACTTTTTCCGGAAAAGCGTCCGTGGCCAATCTAGACGCACTTTTCCGCAAAAAAGCCCCGATCGTCATTTTTGCGATCAGGGCTTTTTTGCGGAAAACACTACTGTGCTGTCTATACTGGCCCTTTTCCGGAACAGTTTTCTGGAAAAAGACTTTTGCCTGAACGGGAGCAGCATAGTTTTTCCGGAAAAGCACTGATGATTTTACATTAGATCGTCAATGCTTTTCCGGAAATTCAAGTGGCCAGTGTAGACAGCTGGCAAGGTTTTCCGGAAAAACTTGCCAGTGTAGACACAGCCAACATGTATAAGACGCGGATATGTATACTCCGCGGAGGGGGGGGGGGGGTTGTAAAAATGTGTATAACCCGTGGGTTATATTTGCTAATTTACGGTAAATGATTTCTCTACAAATGAGGTGTTATCCACTGGAAAGATAGGAAGGGACATGGAGCCCAGAACTAGTAGCGCTGCACACAATAAATATTAATGATTTGCGAGGAGAGTGCAAATAATTGTGGGTATAACCAAGGAGTCCAGTTATGGACCAGGACTCCATCGTGCTAGGTGCTTTTCAAACACAGATTATGGCTACATGCCACAGATTGCCTTCCCCTGTGTAAACAAACAGCAACCTTATTAGTAAATGAAACTTACATTTTCTGAAGAAAATCACAAACGAATTTTTGAAGCATCATCTGAAGAGAGGTTTGTTTTTTTTTCCTGGAGAAATGAACCAAACTTAATATGTTTAGACTGTAACATTTTACACCAGAGTTGTGCTGAGAGAAGCTGGAAGGATGATGATTTAGGAAGAAAAAATTCCTAAAAAGAAATCCAGACAATAATCATTTCACATTAAGATGCTTGGTAATGTAAAAATGCCTAGCACCCTCAAGCAACAGCCATGAGAAAAAATTATAAGAGGTTAATAAAACAATAACACAAAATGTTAAACTCTGGGATGAAAACCATTTTAATCCCTATATATGTCGACTATCTTAATCTCTAACTGTCCTGGTAATTAGACATAAAATTAATAATCTCTGATTTTTCTCCCCCAGGGCCAGCTCGAGCCATTCCTGCGCCCCAGGCAGCGGGCGTGCGATGCATACATGGCGGCGCCCCTTACAGCTGCCATAAGGTGCCCCCCATAGGTTGGCGCCACAGGCAGCTACCCGGCTAGTCCCCCTCTTAATCCAGTCCTGCTCTTCCCATAAAACACACCTTACTTTCTAGCAAAAGGACATAAGATCAATGTGTAGAGAAACAGCAAAACATTTTTAGTGGCCGCAGCCACAAAACTGCTGTATTGCTTGGCTTTTTTTTTTTTTTGCTTTTTTTTTTAAATTGCGGGCTCTGTCCACATTGGATGACCTTGACATTTCCTGAGTCACAGCCAACTTATATCTTCAGTTCCAAACAACCATCTTAAATCTTACACAGTGTCATGGTCTCATTGTCTGAGCTTAATACTTCCCTGCCACTGAAGGATTTTTCACATAAATTATACAGGAAATGAAGCAAAATGTAATTACAATCGCCTACAGCACCAAGGCAGATAGATAGCAACGGGCACAAAAAGCTGTTCAACTGTCTATTTTCAATAAGTGTCACTTGGCAGAATGGATACCCAGTGCCAAAATTATATTATTATTGCATTGTGCATCCAAAAACCTATAAGGTTATGGCCATTTCAAACAGTCACTGATAGCAGACTGCTCCAAAGGGACTTTCATTCTTTGCTTTTAAACCTCATTATATGGACTTCAAAATGTATCATCACATTATATTATGCTGCATTAAATTGAGCTATCCAATGAAAACATTTCCATTAAGATTGAATGAGACATTTGATAATCCATTTGCACACCTTTAATTTTTCAGCAGAACAGATTCTCACTGTTTATTCATAATACTCAAAAGGAAAAGACAATTGTATCTTGCTTTGGCGTAGTCCATATTGATGTGATTTGATTGATTTGAACAGAAGGCACATTACAGTGATGTATAGCATAATGTTTTTGTCCTCGGAAGAACTCCAAATTAATTCATTCCCATTTTACCTTTCAAGATGCAGCATAAAATTTAACCCTAACGTAACTTTTTAAAGAAGTTATTAGTAGAGATCTGTGCTACAAATAACAGCATTAACAAGAGTTAGCAGTAAGTTTTATAGATCCAAAATAAATGTTGCATTGGGAAATTTGTGATGATACAACTTAAAGGTAAGAATCTGTATTTGTTATTAAATAATTACGGAATTCGCTTAGCAAGACCTTTAAAATTCAAAGCCACATTTTAAAGGGAATGAATATAAAATGCTATATTTTTCTAATCTTCTGTTGAAGGTAAGTATTATTTGTGACTTTCAGGTAACTAAGAGCTCCTTAAGCTCAAACTATTCCTCTTGCAAAAGGCTCTCAGTGAAGGATGCAGCAGATAATAGACAGTTGATATACATGATCTTATCCAGAAAGCCAAAATGGCTGAAATGGAGAGGAATTCCATTTTCCACAAAACCTTGCAATGGAGTGCAGGTCAGACTTGGGCAGGAGAAACATTTGTAATTTTGCATGGACTACTGCCTTCTTATTACAGGTATAAATTCTCAAAGTCATGTATTAAAATTAATGGGAATCTGAAATAAAATCCTGTGCATCTCTGTTCTTTTACTGCAGAACAACTTTCATCAGTAAGAGCCTTTATAAGGTCATATAGCGCCCCATAAAGGAGAGCTGAAACTTATGTAAGTCCTTGCTTTCATATTTGGGTTTTAGCCACTGATATACCCCACTGATATAACTACGCCAGTACAGCTTCCTAGTGTAGACTCAGCTAATCAGTGAAAATAGAGATTCTGGTTCTAGCCTTTCTCCACTGGCAATCAGGATGAAAAAGGAGTTGCCTCAATGCCTACCTCTCCCATCTGGTATCAGCAGAATGGCCTGTCCACGCAGTCCAGCACTGCTGCCTATATTGGTACCTAAGCTGCCACTATATTTGTACTGCATACCATCCTGCATTCTCCCCATCTAGTAATGGCCCACCATGCACACTCATTCCTGAAACACCTTAATTCATAAAATATGCTCATCAACAAGCCCTGGACACAGGTGGAAACTTCTTATGCCTCTTAAAACCATGTCCTCTTGTAGTAAAGAAAGCAGCATGGAGGGTGACAGGTTGGCATGTCATGCAAGTGGATTATCACAAACATCAGCATCCTTTACTTAGCACGATGGGCTTTCTGGTGGAAGGCCAGCTGGCTGAAGAACATAAACCTATACTTTTACAGCCCTTTTTCTGATTGATTTTTTCAGCATAAAGGGATATGCTATACACACTGTATGCAGATATCCATGGGGTAAGTTAAATATTGAATCAATTAGGGGAAAGCACTGGAGGAGGAGAATAGCACAGAGTCCAGCTCTTTGCAAAGATGTTCAGAAATCCATGCGATTTCACTTGGGATCTGGAGACACTCATGAGGCTTTCTCATGTCCCATCTGCAGGATGGCCTCTTGGTACAATGGATAGCTGGAAATACAGAAGGTTGAAATACATGCAGTTCACAAAACCATTTTTCCATGCCCAATAGTTTACTCCACTAGAATGTGGGCCTCGTCCCTATCTCATTGAAATAAATGGAAGGTTTGCTATTGATTTCATTGGATTTGCATAAGATCTGCACCTTGCTTTCAACATTTAGGGTATGTCTAAACTACATGGCTCCGTCGACGGAGCCATGTAGATTTGTTGTTTTGGCAAAGGCAAATGCAGCCGCGATTTAAATGATCGCGGCTTCATTTAAATTTACATGGCTGCCGCGCTGAGCCGACAAACAGCTGATCAGCTGTTTGTCGGCTCAGCGCGGCAGCCATGTAAATTTAAATGAAGCCACGATCATTTAAATCGCGGCTTCATTTGCCTTTGCCTATGTGTCTAATCTACATGCCTCTGACAACAGAGGCATGTAGTCTAGACACAGCCTTAGGTACTGTTTTTAGACAGCAGTGAAGAAGGCATTTGAAGAGTAATAATTTATAAGTCTTTTCACGTTTTACTTTGTCAATGAGAATGTCTTTCTTATCCAGCTCCCATAAAGTGAGTTTATTATGCCATTCCTGTTGCAAGCATCATAAACACTAATAAAAATGATACATCAAGAAGGGAATTAAAAAACCTAAGGAAGAATGCTGTGCTTCAAATAGCTCCTTTCATCTGGGTATCTCCTGTTCTTTATGAATACTAAGAAATTAAGCCTTAATGCACTCCTAATTCAACAGTTATTATCCAGAGTATCCAAATATGCAAATTAAAACACAGTGGCTACGTCTACTCTGGCCCCTTTTCCGAAAGGGGCATGTTAATTTCAGAGATCGTAATAGGGAAATCCGCGGGGGATTTAAATATCCCCCGCGGCATTTAAATAAAAATGTCCGCCGCTTTTTTCCGGCTTTTAGAAAAGCCGGAAAAGAGCGTCTACACTGGCCCCCTTTCCGAAAGGGGCATGTTAATTTCAGAGATCGTAATAGGGAAATCCGCGGGGGATTTAAATATCCCCCGCGGCATTTAAATAAAAATGTCCGCCGCTTTTTTCCGGCTTTTAGAAAAGCCGGAAAAGAGCGTCTACACTGGCCCCCTTTCCGAAAGGGGCATGTTAATTTCAGAGATCGTAATAGGGAAATCCGCGGGGGATTTAAATATCCCCCGCGGATTTCCCTATTACGATCTCTGAAATTAACATGCCCCTTTCGGAAAAGGGGCCAGTGTAGACGAGCCCACACTGTATGACTCCTTGGAAGTTTCTCTGACCAGCTCTAATAGGGTATGTCTACACTAGCCACCCTAGTTTGGACTAGGGTGGCTAATGTAGTCATTCGAACTTGCAAACGAAGCCTGGGATTTAAATATCCCGGGCTTCATTTGCATGTTCCCGGGCACCGCCATTTTTAAATGCCCGGTAGTTCAAACTACCTAGCACATGCCGTGTGTAGCTGTGGGCAAGTAGTTCGAACTACTGGGCATTTAAAAAATGGTGGTGCCCGGGAACATGCAAATGAAGCCCAGGATATTTAAATCCCGGGCTTCATTTGCAAGTTCGAATGACTAGACTGGCCAGTTTAATTTTTTGTTTACTGTTGTCATAATTTCCTGCTTCTGGTACCGTTGTCAAGTCTGTTATTATTGGCCTCCAACCTCATGGTAGCTTCCCATATACATTTTTAAAAACTTCACTATTTTTGTTAAAATTTATAACATAATTCCCTTCAATACCTTCCTTTTCAGATTTAAAATCTACACACAAATTGTACTGATTAAATTATATCAATTTCTAATTTCATTTAGTTGAATCAGTGCAACCCCCTTGTGTAGATACTCTTCAATGGATTTAAAAATAGCTAGTATTGATTTAGATTAATTTAGTAAGCAGTTTAAGTTGCCCACATAATTTAACTGTGAATTAAATCAGTTTCTAAATTGATCCAATCAGTGCAATTTGTGTACGTAGGCAAGTCCTTACATTTTCATTCTAAATTAGAATACATTTCCCCCTTAAACAAAGAAGCTAAAAGATGGACTACAATTGTAAAACATGTAGCGGTGTGTATGTAATTAGTTCCCTTGTGACTAGCACTCATTCTCCCACAGGAATGCTGCCCACAGCAATAAGTGTGCAGAAATCATATTAATGAGCAAAAAGGTGAAACCTGGCTCTATTGTCTTATTTTTGCCAATGAAATGATTTTCCTTTGGACTTTTAGGTCCATTATCATACAGTGAATCCTCTGTCATTACACACACAGATATTCCCCAAATTTGTACAAATGCCACATATTCTGTTTGTTTCCACATGCACTTTGGAAGGTCTTCTTTGATAATTAAGATGAAGTAGCAATTTCTTTTTCAATGTATCTGCATCTCTTGCAGCGACTTTAGCCTTTTCCCTTACGATGGTATGAGTGAAATGCTGTGCAAACTCAGGCGGTTTGTATGATGTGTTTCAAGGAGCTATTGAGGTGAAAGCTGCACGTA